CACAACATACGCATTTTCAGATCGGACAATGGAACAGAGTTTGTCAACGATGAGATGAAAACATTTTTCAACGAAACATTCATCACCAGCGCACGATTCCATACACGCCAGAAATGGGTGCGCTGAACGGGAGATGCGAACGATTGTTGAGTCGGCGCGAACGATGATTCATTCGAAGAGAATGGATAAGAAGTTTTGGGCGGAAGCGGTGAATTCCGCGGTCCATGTTTTGAATCGAACTGGAACGAGTACTGTTTCTAACAAGACGCCATACGAATTGTGGTACAACAAACGAGCGAAGATTGACTATTTGCGGATTTTCGGCTCAGAGGTTTTTGTGCCAAAGGAGAAGCGACAGAAATTGGATCCGAAGGCGATCAAGTGCATTTTTGTCGGATATAATGGCAACTCGAAAGGATATCGTGTTTGGAATCCAGAATCGAGAAAAAGTGGTGACTCGAAACGTGATCTTTTGGAAGAATCAAGGGTTGTACTCGACTCGAATCAAGGGTTGTACTTGATGACACAAATGGTTTGAAGGTGAATGATGCAGAAGTCAACGAACAAGATGATGATCAGCATAGTGATGATGTTGATGTGGAGCCAGAAACACCATTGGAGAAACGGGATCGTGGAACTCTATGTGACATAAATGAGCGGAACATCATAGGACATCGTTTGCGTGATCGAAGTACATTGTCTCGTCGGCAATTGACATATGACGACGCATCTGCATCATGTGGCCATGTTAGCAGTCAACGAGGAACCAAGGACGTACGAACAAGCGATTAAATCGGCGGAACGAAGGCAGTGGGAGCAGGCAATGGATGACGAATACGCCTCGCTTATGAAGAATCATATGTGGATTTTAGTCGATCCACCGGAAGATCAAAAGATAATTGACAATCGTTGGGTATACAAAGTTAAATTTTGCACAGATGGTAGCATCGAGCGCTTCAAGGCGAGATTGGTTGTGCGTGGCTTTAGTATGGCATCGATTACCGTGAGACGTTCAGTCCGGTGGTCAAAATCACGTCGATTCGAGCCATCCTAGCATTGGCAGCGTCGAAGCAGATGTCTCTCAGGCAATTCGACGTGAAAACTGCGTTCCTGAATGAAGACCTGGAAAAGGATGTCTTCATGAAACAGCCGGTTGGTTATGATAATGAGAGTGTACGAGTATGTAAGTTGGTTAAAAGCTTGTATGGCTTGAAGCAGGCTTCACGCTGCTGGAACCGGAAGTTCACATCGTTCATCACAAAGTTCGATTTCAAGGCCAGTCAATCGGATCCATGTATGTTCGTATGCAACAGAAAAGATGGAATGATTGTGTTGGCAATCTACGTGGACGATGGACTCATTGCATCGGAAAACGAAAAGGCCATATAACCGATGATTGACCATTTGCAAAAAGAATTCGAGATTAAGGTATTCGACGTAGGATGCTTTTTAGGATTTAAGATCGATCAACGATCGAACGGATTCATGTCAGTCAACGGGCATACGCACAAAGAGTACTGCAACGTTTTGGCATGATGGACTGTCATGCAGTCTCGACACAACTAGACGCCGGACAGAATTTGAGTGACTTCGAGGCGGATGGAGAGGTCAATTTTCCGTACAGGGAAGCGGTAGGCAGCTTGATGTACTTGGCTATGGCGACGCGACCGGACATCACCTTCGCGGTCGGAAGTGTCAGTAGATACCTGGAAAAGCCGGCCGAAGCGCATGTGAATGCTGTCAAACGCATTCTGAAGTACATAAAGGGTACCTTGGACATGGGAATACTCTTCGAAGGAGGCAACGATCTGACGTTCTGCGGCTATAGTGACGCAGATTATGCGGGTGACAAGCGGACTGCACGATTAACATCGGGATATGTCTTCCTATTTGGCGGAGGGATCATCAGTTGGGGTTCGGAACGTCAAAAATCAGTGGCGTTGTCAACAACCGAATCCGAGTACATGGCAGCGTCGTATGCTATAAAGGAGTTGATATGGCTGAAGCAATTGCTGTCGGAGCTGCTACAAACTCAAATGGATACGCCGAATTTTTTCATGGATTGTCAGAGTGCGATTCGGCTTGTGAAGAATCCGGAATTTCACAAGAGGACCAAACACATCAATGTTCGATACCACTTCATTCGTGAGAAGTTCGAGGAAGGTGAATTCGAACTGAAATATGTGTCAACGAATGAGCAGTGTGCAGACATTATGACAAAGACATTGCCAAGGGCAAGGCATCAATTTCTTCGTGTATTAATGAACATAGTTTCATTCGAAAATTGATTATTTCCTTGTTTTGTCATTCTAAAGTATTTGATTAATGCGTAACTTGTAACTAAAAGTAGGAGTATTGAAATTCGAATACGCGCCGATGTTTCACTGTAATTTAGTTTCAAGTTTTTTTTTTGTAAGGTCCTCTACTCTTACGGTTCTGTATGGATGTGGTGATGAAAATTCGGCTGTATGTCTTGTAGCCTGAGAATGACCGGGCACTTCTTGATCTGATTTCTCACAATAAACACGCGGTTCAGTGTTCTCGTAATTCTTCATTTTGGCAAGTTTTTATGTGTTTTCTTTTATTTCATAACCATGTCCTATCACACAACGCGACATCGTCAACACGCATACCTTTTGGTTGTCCGATACCGTCGTTTTAAACGCTCTGCGTATTCTAGAATCACGTCATCCGCTACCACGATTAAAGCGCATTCATTTGCAACAAAACGAACGTGAACTGTAAATAGCGGCATCAAGAAATAAACGTTTAAACGCCGCTGCGTCTCTTAATATCACGCCGCTGTTATTAAAGCGCATAGATTGTAATCAACCGAACGCGGACTTTAAATCGCAGCACCGAGAAATAAATAGTCCCGCGAAAACACCCGTCGATTCCGAGAATCCAAGAATTCTCGGAGCACCGGAATCCCTCGCGGAAAAAGCGCCACAAAAACTCGCGCCGTCTCGCGCTTCGTAAACACAAGCCGGCGTTCGAGATCGAGACCGGAATTAAATCTGCATTTATTGTCGCATAATTAATCGGATAACACAGACATATACGAATATTATACTCACACACACGCTCACACACATACACACACCTACTCTGTACATACATACATATTATTAAAATAAATACAATTAAACTGATCACATCGCGTATTTTCATTTACACGAACCTTGCACCGGCGATCTATCCGCGTTGCGAAAAACGTCCGAAAATACGACCGTTACAGGGAGAAGAGGCAAGTGGGGATGGTTGGCGGACGAGGAGAGGATGAGGAGAGGAAGGAAGGGGCTATGGATGGAGAGGAGAAGAAGAGGAAAAGAGGAGGGGGAAAATGCAAAGGCGGCAGAGGGGAAGAAGGAGGTCAAGAAAGAGGAGGATAATGGGGACATACGAGGGGAAGGGAGCGTGGAGGGTGAAGAAAGGGAGGAGGAATGATGATTGATGGTGGAGGAAGAAGAAGAAGAAAGAAGGAAGAGGAAAAAAGCTAGCGAAGGAAGAGGTGAAAAGAAGAGAGAAGAGGCAAGTGAGGAGAAAAGAAAGCAAGGGAGAGAGGACACATGAAAGAAGTTCGAAGAGAGAAGAGACAGAGTGAGGAGGGAGAGGGAGAGGAGGGAGTCGGAGAGGAGAGAAAGGGAAAGGGGGAAGGAGATACAGAAGAGGAAAGAAAGGAGGAAGAATGTGGTATGGAGAGGAATAGAGGGGGGGTAGTGCGAAGGAGAGAAGAAGGGTGTTAGAGGGGATTGTGACGGAGGAGCTCGGGAGGAAGGTAGAAATATGTGAGGTGAGAGAAAGAAAGGGGATGGCAGGGGTGGTGATAATTGCTAAGATGGGGAAGAGGAGGGACAGGATGGACTTACTGGAGAACGGGTGGGAGATCAGGAGAAATTGGGGGGTTGGAGTAGACGAAGACTTAACTATGGAGGAAAGGAAGGTTAGATGGAAGTTAGTGGAAAGGGCGAGAATGGAAAGAGCGAAAGGGAGGGTGGTAGTGACGACAAATAGGAGAGTATGGGTAAATGGAAAAGCGTGGGGGTGGAATGTGGAAAAGAATGAATGGAAGGAGGATATAGTGGAGACGGAGACGGAGGGTGAGAGTGATAATTAGGGAAAAGAGGAAGAGGGGAAAGATTAGACAGAGGATAAAAATGGAGGTAGAAGAGAAAAGGGCAGAAGGGGATGAAAAAGAACAGGAAGAAGTAGAAGAGGAGGAACAGGGGCAAGGGAGAGTATAAGGATGGTGGGGAGAGTCAAATGAGGGAGGAGAGGGAGTTAAATGATGTAGAAGGAACTGGAGGAAGTCGAGATGAGGGGAGAGGATAGATACTAACTACGCAAGGTTGATTCTATCTTTTGCAGAAGCTGATGAACAAGAGGGAGCTATAAAAAGAAAAGAGACAAAACAGGAGAACAAGGAGAAGGACGGGAAGGAAGAGGGGAAGAAAGGCAGGCGCAGGATAGAAAGGAAAAAGGAAGAGGAGGAGGGACGGAAAGAAGTCGGAAAAGAAGATTGAAGGGGGAAGAAGGGAGTGGATGATAGGGAAAGGGGGAGGAACGATGAGAGAGGGAGGAAAGGGTTCTCTTGAGGGGAGGGGGAGTAGGGTACAAGATTAGGGTAAAGGTCACAATGGCCAGGTCGTAAATAGTTGACAGAATTGTAAAGGATTCGGGAACGCTCCCTAGAAAAGGGCCTTGTAAATCCTGAGGGAAAATATAATAAACTACTACTACTACTACTACTACTACTACAAAAAGATTCTTTGTAATTTAAATTACAATTTGAATGCGCGGGACCTCTATACCGCCCGGTCAAATGACAATGATCGCGTACGCGTGTATCGTCTTCTAGCGTAAACGGTTTTTCGCATATATGACATTGAGTGGCGCTGTAGAATTTCTCCCACTCTTCGGATGTTAAATTTACCATAGGGACATTGGTCGTTAAAATATGCTTAACGCGAATCGCTAAATTTTTAAGATCTTCGACCATACTATACAATCGGCGCTACGACGTGAATGATACGCAGATAAAGATTCGTCGTACAATGTACATAGTAAGCTATGCTAAATACTTGATGATGTTGGTACAGTTTTTGTTGTTCTTCCTCCGTCTTGGCCAGAACGCATTCCAAATCGGCATAGATCACAAATGGAAGCCGCTCTTTCCTGTTGTAGTTGTTGAACTCGAGCCACTTGTCCTTATCACTCGGCAACCGGATAGCGCAGTCGTTCATCTCCCCGCAGTCGACAGCATGTAACTGTAACTTGTCTTCTGAATTAAAATAATGCAGGGATCTGTAAAAGAAAAATTTTATCATAAGATATTTTTTATATAAATTATTTGATATAATTATTTTTTTTAATTATTATTTTTTATATTAAATAAATAAATATATATATATATATATATATGTATATATACATACCGATCGCAGATATATTTCCTATGATCTTTTTTGCTCAACTGTGAACCGACAAGTCGCGATAGATTCTTGATCCACGCGAAATGTCCGACGCTGTTGTCGTCTTCCACGTATAGCAGATTCACATGCTTATCTCGCTTCTGCTCCGAAAGACGTATCAGGACAATGCTGTTCTTGTCTTCGATGTCGTACACGTTGATCGAGATACTGTTTGCAAGTTCAAACTTTTTAATTTGATTTACAGTCACTGGAAACTCAGTGTCCCGAAGATTCAGCACTGTCACGTAATGCGGATACGATGATTCCCGTTCCGCGTTCCTTTCGACGGGGAATAGAACGGCGACCACTGCCCACTCGAAACACGCATTGTCTTTAGATTGTAAGTTAACCACCGCTCTCTTCGTCACAATCTCCCGCGGCAATTTAATGTGACATCCCGCGTGCATTGGATTATATTTATTTACATTAACAATCAAATTCTGTATTCGCGACAGTGCCCAGCCACTATCGCGTTCTTGAAATTCCTCCAACGATGCTAAAGTGGGCTCGGTAACGCGGCGCTCGAATCACTCGCGTAAATCGAATGTGCGAAAGAGTTCACAGTTTCTCGTATTTATACTTTTATTTGCACGCTTATCACCCGACACAAATTCACCGCTAAATATAGTATTTACTTTTACACTGTTGTGTCTTTTTAGAACGTCTTGCACTTACTCGAGCACAATGTCTTCGACATCCTCAAGAAATTGACGAGGTTCGATATAGTTTGCGTTAATCACAGCACCGGTCAGAATACGGCTATCGAACGCGGTATCGATCTCTCGCCAAACGAGTCTTTCCGCGTTATTGTCACCGCTGTAATCACCACCACTGGACATAAACCGTCTCTGCAATCGAGTCTTTACACCTTCTAGTCGCGCGATTTTAGCCACTAGAGATTGTCTACTTCCGATCGAGAGCTGTCCGCGAACGCTTGACACGACTGCGTTCTTCAAGCTCTTCGATAAATTCCTCGCAACGCTGCAGCCACGCGAAATACTCGCCCAAGATGGCAATTTGGCGAGATGTCTCCACCAGATCGCCTTTCGGTCTGCTCGATGTTATCCATTTTTCTGTCTTTTTCACACTTTTAAAGCACTACGTCACAGTTTTCTACGGAGCACTTGCACGTGACTTTTGCACACGATAAACAATAAACTGTTCGCTATCTTGAACGTGAAATCGCGCAAAAATCTTTCTAACAGAACACCGCTATATTTTTTTTTACAGCCAGCGTCGATGGGCGTTCAAATCATGTACTATGATTTAATGCGCTTCACTCCTTCTTATATATGAAGGAGAAAACAAAGGCGCAAAGCAGCTGAACATCGGCGCTGATATGCGTCGCAATTCTTCCGAGAAAAAATCGTGGAAGACGATTCTGGAAGGTGCCATTTGTTTGTATTGTTTAATTCGCATGCTGTGTAATTCAATGAGAGAGATAAGGATACGTCGAACGAAAAAAAAATTTAGAATTACTTATATTGGGGATGAGGGGTGTACCGCGAAAGCGCAAAACAGCCGAACATCGGCGCTGATATACGAGCGGCGGAACCAAGAGTGCAAAGCAGCCGAACGGCGCTGATACGTTGCAATTCTTCCTAGAAAAAATCGCGGAAAACAATTCTGGAGGGCGCCATTTGTTTATATTGTTTATAAATTCACGCGACGAGTAATTCAATGAAAGAGAGACAAGGATACGTCGAACTAAAATAAAATCTAGAATTACTTATATTGGGGATGAGGAGTGTACCCTGAAAGCGCAAAGCAGCCGAACATCGGCGCTGATATACATTGCAATTCTTCCTAGAAAAAGTCGCGGAAGACGATTCTAGGGGGCGCCATTTGTTTATATTGTTTATAAATTCACGCGACGAGTAATTCAATGAGAGAGAGATAAGGATACGTCGAACGAAAAAAATTTAGAATTACTTATATTGGTGGTGAGGGGTGGGAGTGGGGGTGGGTACTTATATTGAGGGCGAGGAGGTGGGAGTGGGGGATGTACCCGAGAGTTATTTTTGTTTGCGAAAACATGTTCCAACGCGTTAGGGTATGTAATACAATATTGCTTAAAAATTATATGATGCAACTATTTCATTTCTCTCTACAATATATTTTTTATCATGAAGGTAATACAATTATGACTTTATTCTTAAAATAATAATGGATTTTTATCGGAAATATTGAAAAAAAACACAATAAATAAAAAATTGATATTAAATTTTGATTTATTCTATGAAAGAATTTTATGTTACACAGGATATTAAATTCTTCGCGTTGATCGCGAAATTTTACCTTCTATTTAAAATTTTTATACCGCGAGAGCTATTTTGTTTGCGAAAACATGTTCCAACGCGTTAGGGTATGTAATACAATATTGCTTAAGGAATACCGCTGTTTATATTGTTTATAAACCGAACATATTCGTAATACTGTTTATCAACCGGGCATGTAATATAATATTGCGAAAAACATCTAATACGCGCCGCCTCCGAAATCCCCTCCGTCCCGCGTGACGTCTTTTCCCCGCGCCTCCGTAATCCCCCTCGCGCCTCACCCCCCCTGAGAGGACCTGAGTTAAAACCAGCCCTATTATCCTACTAAATTAGTTTAAATAATTTATTTTTGCATAAATAGGTCAAAATTTTAGGGTCGAAATCAGTATTTTTCACTAAAGTCCCATAATTTTTATAATTTTATATATTGTTCTTAATTTTTTTTGGTTCATTGATAGAATTTTATGACAAGTAAAATCAGATCGATTTTTTTTGTTTCAGACAAGAAATGGAGGCCGCAACTTCGGTCATGAGGCACAACATCATAATCATTAAAAATCTCTATAATACAAATATCATTATTTCTTAATAAAAATATTTTTTGTATTGTTTAAACATGTAATAAATTGTCCTTAAAGTTTTAAAAAGATCGATTTTATTGTTAGTTCTGAAAAAATTCGCAAAGTTTATCTTATTTTCAGCGTTCTAAATCAGGTTCCTTCCTTAATCGTTGGAAAAAACGTCAGTGTAAATTTAATTGTAGCGGACGCATGTACTCAGTTAGCCCAACTGAAATTGAATTATTTCACTTCCGTATTATTTTATTAAATGTTAAAGGAGCAACAAGTTATAAGATTTAAAAACAGTCAACGGTAAATTGCATCAAACGTTTACTTCTGCATGTTTGGCTTTGGATCTAATTGAAGATTAATGACGAATGGAACCATGCAATAAATAAAACCTCTGTTTGAATGATGCCGAAACATCTTAGGCTACTTTTTGTTCAAATATTAATACATTGCCAACCAATGCATTAAAAAAATTATGAGAATTAAAAGATTTTAAAAGAATTAAAACATTTTAACACGTTGACTGCCGTGCGCGTTTACAGTGAAATCTCCTTCAGGCCACGCGTACCGCTGTACGAAGCGTATTCTGCTGGGTATTCCCATCGATATTTTAAAAATGCGAATCGCTGATTGTCGCAAGAATAACCTCCCGCCCCGTTTGTTTCCATGGTATCATGCTCGGTCATTTATTTTCGTTACTTCGCATTTGTTTCTCATCTCGCCACTGTACAGGATCAGTTTGACTCTTTGCCGAGTAACGAGCGGTATAACTTAAAATCTCTACCCTAATTCGTTGAAATGTCGGAAAGAAAAAGGGAAAACTTATTTGTTAGAGAGTCAAATAGCAGTGAACAAGAAAGCTTTTACGAGGCTTACACAAATTCAAATAGCAGCGATGAGGAAGAAATCAGATTTCCTAGAAATAGAAATGTAAATAGAATTACATCATCTGATTCCGATTCGGATATTGATCAGTGCAATGGTAGTGATACTGAATGTAATGAAGATTTCATTGACGAGATTTTGCAAGAATTGGTCACTGATGAAGACAGAAGAACTGATGATACCGAGGAAAATACAATTGAATTTGGTGAATGGAATGAATTTAGTGGTCGGCAGAAGTCATTTTCTTTTTCCGAGACGGGCGGCCTCATTAGGCAATTACCAGGTGATGTTCATCCATATGATGTGTTTGTGCTGTTCGTTGATGACGAAATAATAGACTTACTTGTATCAGAAACAAATAGATACGCGGAACAAAAGTTAAATAAATCTGACCTAACACCGTGTTCACGGATGCATAAGTGTAAACCCACTAATCCCGAAGAAATAAAAAAATTCTTGGGACTGATTTTATATATGGGAGTTGTAAAAGTAAACTCTATTGCCAATTATTGGTCGAAAAGCCCACTGTATAATTTTCAATTACCGCGTACTATAATGTCACGAAATAGATTTGAGTTACTAATGAGTAATTTTCATTTTGCCAATAATGTGTCCATTGCCCGTAACGATCGACTTGGAAAAATACGTCCACTTTTCGACAAACTGGAGGGAAAGTATCAAAAAATATTCACGCCTGGAGAACACATTGTTATTGATGAAACGTACAGTTCCATGGCGCGGAAGACTCATTTTCAGACAATATATACCAAATAAAGCGCACAAGTACGGAATCAAATTATTTAAATTATGCTCAAGCACGGGATATACATGGGCGATGAAAATTTCTCTGGAAATTTACTCTGGTAAATCAGCTGATGGTATTAGAGAAACGGGATTGGCACATAATGTATGTCTTCAGCTTGCAGAAAAACTTTTCCACCAAGGACGTACATTGTATATTGATAATTTTTACACGAGTTATGAGTTAGCAATATCATGCCTAAACCGCAAAACCCATGTAGTGGGAACACTTAGGAATAACAAAAAATTCCTCCCAAAAGATATTCTTCATTGCAAACTCAGAAAAGGGGAGATGGTATCCAAAGAAGATGATAACGGGATTGTGGTACTCAAATGGAAAGATACACGGGACGTAAGAATTTTATCAACAAAACACGCTCCTATCATGGTACCAAGTACAAAAAAAATCGTAGCATTCGTACTGTTTCTCCAAGTCAACAGACACCTGCAACACTCAAACCACTAGCTGTTGTTGAATATAATGCAGGAAAGTGTGGTATAGATTATTTCGACCAAATGGTTTCTTATGCCACCACAATTAGAAAAGGAATCAAGTGGTACCGAAAGCTTGGCATTCAACTACTTCTGGGAATTTCTGTTGTAAACGCTTTGACGGTTTACAAAATTGCAACAAAGAAGGATGTAAATATTAGAAGATTTAGGGAAATATTAGCTGCAAAATTATTTGGGTTGACTGAAAATACAACAAATCCTTGTCTTCGTCGGAGTCAGCATAATATCGCCGTTCGAAAAAATGATTCCGGAGGAAGCATTAGACGCGCATGCAAACAATGTTATGCAGATAAAAGTCATCGAAATGGGCAGATCAAAGACACGAAA